ATCTTTGGTTTCCAGTTCAGGATCCTCACCCTGCTACTCATCTCTCCTCCCCTCTATGCACACAAACACACGTACCGCCTTTCAGCTCTTCTGGAGACTATGGTGTTACTTGTTTGGTAACATACCCAGCTTTTATTTCTTGTTTCAACTTTAGTCCCTGTGCATTTTCTCAGGGTGACCCTACCTCCCGCTCTCTGCCCCATCTTACTCTTCTATCAGCAAGGTTCTGAACACCCAGAACCCCTGCACTGCTGCCTTCTTAGACAAGTGTCTCCTGAATCAAGCAATACCCAGCTCTGTGATCAATGCAGGGGCACTGGCTGTCTTTGCATTTTTTTATTGTGCACCTATAATTAATCTTAAAATCTTGTCTAAGATGATTCACTGAAGCTAGAAAATAAACATTTATAATGTCATTATTTTATGAATGTCATTATTTTATACGGTAGATATGTATATCTTTTCATATTATTTTACAGTTCTGAAATATGCTAGAATAAGTCCAGGGCAGGTAGAGCTTTACTTCATTCATCCCATCCAGTATCTTGCTGGCTCTTTCAAATGGCAGATTCGCAACTGTTTCAGCTCTGGATAATTTTCTTCCATTACATCTTTGATAACTGTCATCTTTCCAGTTTTCCTGTCCACTCCTTTTACAGTTTCTTTTCCCCGAATGCTGTTATTTTGATAAAATATACAGAATATAAAGTGTATCATTTGGAATATATTTATGTTTACAATTCAATAGCAGTAAATATATTAACAATGCTATTCAACCATCATCACCACCCATCTCCATATCTATTTTCATATGTGAAACTGCAACTTTACATTCATTAAAAGGCAAGTCTGTATTTCTCCCTCCTCGAAACCCCTGGAAACCACCATTCTACTTTGAATCTATGATTTTTTTTTTTTAAGACAGGGTCTTACTATGCAGTTCAGGTTGGCCTTGACCTCACTGTGTAGCCCAAGCTGACCTAAAACTTGCAGTGATCCTCCTGCCTCAGCCTCTCAAGTGCTGGGATTACAGGTGTAGACCACCATGCCTGGCTTGTATCTATGATCTTGGATGCTCTAAGTACCTCATACAATGGAATTATATAGTAGTTGTACTTTTGTGATTGGATTATTTTAGTTAGCACAATGTATTTGAGGTGTATGGATATTTTAGCATTTATCAAAAAGTTTTTTTCCTTTTTAAGGCCAAATAAATATTCAACTTTCTGGAACTATCACATTTCTTACCCACTTACCTGTTGATGAACACACACGTTGGTATACACACGAGTTATTTCCATGTATTAGCTATGAACACTGGGGTACAAATATCCCTTTGAGATTCTGCTTTCAATATTTTTCGCTATATCCAGAGATTGAACTGTTGGATCATATGGAAATTCAACTTTTAATTTTGTGAAGAACACACTTTCCACAGTGGCTATACCACTTAACATTCCCACACGTAGTGCACAAGTGTTCCAATCTCTCTGCACCCTGGGCATCATTTGTTAGTTTTTGATTTTTTGTTTAATGTTCATCATCTTAATGAATATCTCATTGTAGTTTTGATTTGCATTTCCTTCATGATTAGTGTCTTGGTTACTTTTCTCTCATTGCTGGGACAAAATACCTGATGTCCAAAATTAAGGAAAGAAAGGTTTATTTTGCTTACAGTTTGTGGAGGTTTTAGTCCATACTTGGCAGATTACAAGGCAGAGTGGCACATGGCAGAGGGCTACAGCTCATGGCAGCAGAACACAGCTAAGCAACAAAACACACAAGGGAGGAAATGGCCAAAAGCACCCTCCTTCTCTCCCTTACATATGCAAACTATTCACCCCAGGGCAGGTGTAGCTCTCACACCCATAATCAATCAAACTCTAAAAGCCTGCCCCATGGCCACATGAGGCTTTGGGGGGACACCCAGACACAAACCATAACAATTAGAAATATTGAGCATATATATTCATGTGCTTTGTTTTTTTTTGTTTTTTTTTTTTTTTTTTGGTTTTTCTCCGGTACCGGGAACCGAACTCACGACCTTGCGCTTGCCAGGCAGGTGCTTTTGCTGCTGAGCTAAATCCCCAGCCCCTATATTCATGTGCTTATTGGAAATTTGTGTATCTTTTTTTGGAGAAATGTGTAAGTACTTTGCCAATTTTTGAATCAGGTTTTGTTGTTGAGTTTTAGAAGTTCTCCATATATTTTGGATGATAATCTCTTGTTAGACAAATGATTTGCAAATATTTCTTCCAATTCTGTAAATTGCCTTTTTACTCTGTTGAAGTTGGTTTTTTTTTTTTTTTTTGAGAGAAAAAAGATAAAGAATGTAACAGGTAGTAGGTCAGTTACAATTGTTGATGCATCGGTTATTACAATATTTGATACACTTCAAGTTTTGAAACAGGTTAGTAGGATACTTACTACAGTTGAAACATTGCATACTGTTGCTTTCCTGTTACTTAATCAGAGTACAAGTTATAGGCATGATATTTTGTCTAATATTGAGAAGTTTTGCAAATCAAAAGAAACCATCTTGTAGGGCAGGTCTACCAATCATAAACATCAGCTTTTCTTTACCTAGAAATGTCTGTTTCTCTCTCACATGCAAGAATGGTTCTGACAGATACTAGATATTATCTCTCTGATTACATGGCCCAGTGCTTTCTGGCTTCCACAGTTCCTGATGAAAAAGTCTGCTGATAATCTCATTGATTATCAATTGAATATCACTTGCATGTGGCAAATCACTTCTCTCCTTCTGCCTTTAAGATTTTATTTGTCTTTGGCCTTTGAAAGTGCAATTAGAATGTATCTTATTATAGGTCTGTTTAGTTCCCGTATTGATACTGTTGAGCTTCTTGGATCAACTGCAAAATTTCCAGTTACTATTTCTGAACATACTCTCTTTGTCCCTTTCTCTCCCTCTTCAGAGACACAGGCAATATACAGTTACTAAGATACGTGGTATCTCACTGTTCTCTGGGGCACACCTCATTTTTCTTCAGCCTATTTTGCTTAATTCTTTTGGCTCAAGAATTTTGATTGTACTGTCCTCAGATTACTGATTCTTTCTTTGCTTGTTCAAATCTGCTTTTGAAGCCCACTAAAGAATTCTTTCATTTCAGTTTTTGTATTTTCTCCTTCAGAATTTCTGCGTGATTTCTTTTTTAAGCTCTCTGTCAATGTTTCCATTTATTGACACATCATTTTCTTGACTTTCTCTATATCTCTGCATTTGCATTTAGTTTTTAGTCATCTTAAAGACAGTTCCTTTAAAATCTTTCTCTAGTATGTCTGACATCAGTTTTCCAGGACAGCATCCACTGATTTATTGTTTCCTTTGAATATGCCATACTTTCCTGTTTCATTAAATGTCTTGTGGTTTTTTTTGTTTGAAAACTGAACATTTGAATCAAATGATGTGATAACTATGAAAATCAGTTTCTCCTCTTTCTCCAGGGTTTGTTGAGTATATATATATATACACACATATATATCTCCACCTGATCTTGAAATGTAAACTTAAGGTCTTCTCAGTTTCTTGTTCTGAGCCTACTCCTTTACCTGAGCATGCAAGCACTTTGTGATTTTCCCTGTGTATACATATACCAGGAATATATGTGTACGTGTACGTATATACATATATGTATCTGATAGATATGTAAATGCTTTTGAATTTCTCAGTCTTTAACACCTGGCTCTCAAAAGAGAAAAAGAAAAATGAAGGAGGGAGAAATCAGAACTATACACCATTAAATCCCCCTGAAGTTACTTTGACCTAAGAGGTAAAGCCTTGCAACAATATGTGGAGACACAACCCCAGTGGCTGTCAGCTTTTCCACCTCTCATTGAAGCAACAAAGAGAGCACAAACCTTCAGTATTTGAAGGACAGGTTCCTTTTCGCCAGCCTTGGCTTCCACCAGCTGTGCGCAGGTTGCTCCGGGAACACATGCGCAGCTGCCTGCCATGGAGTTGGGGATGTGAGTAAGGGGCGAGTGCTACTGTGCTACGACTTGAGCATGGCTGCATTCACGAATTTACTGTGTATTCCGTCCCTGGAAAGTTGCAGCCCTTCCACAGTTTCCGAAGTTCCAAAGCAGTAATAGCAGCTGCAATCTGCCAGTGCATTACTGTTTAGCGGAAGTTCCCCGTGCCTCCTTCTCTGCCATTTCCCAGAATCTTCTCGCCCTAATCTTTTAAAGGCAAGATGTCCACTGTCTTGAAGTAATTCCCCATAGTTAATAGCTATACATTGTTGCTTATACTCTAAAATATTTAATTTGCTATTTTTGTTTTCTATTATTTTCATTTTTAAAACTTAGGCACTATAAATTCTTGGTGTTTTTCTTAATGTTCATGTTCTACCTGGTTTAAGCTTATTTTGTGGAGGCAACATCAAGTCATATCTTTGTGAACACACTAAAAACACTTCAAATGTTTTCATTTGTTTCCTATTTTCTTTGAAGCTATTTATTCTCTATTTATTTTGATCATGTTGTTGCATTATCCATTATCTTAGATAAGCAGTGGTCCTTGTTTGGACATTCATAATGGTCAATGCAGGATGAGCTTGATTAGTATTTGTAGCTGGTGTGAATTTCTTCTAAAGTTTTGTTTCCCTATTATGCACAGTAGTCTTTATTTTAGGAAGAAGTGGAGGAGAAAGTGATAGATATTGGTACCACTTCATCCTGCTTTTTTATTCTGAGGTGTCGGGGACCCTTACAAGAAGTTGTAGCACTCCAGAAACATTTCTTAATTTCTGTAAAGATCATTCTTCTGATTTTGATGGGGACTGGCAAAGGTGAGTCAAAAGCCACAATTAATTCTTCATTTGGCAAGATTTCAATTGAATTATACACCGTCTTTCAATTATTCAACCTATTCACAATTCTATTAGGCAGACCTTCTAAAAGGGCATGGAAACTCTACAAAGAAAAGCCTGGAAGAAGGGCAGTCCTGAGGCAACCTTCTCTACCCCAGTTCAGCTTTCTGCCGACTCCACTGTGGTTCATCTATCGAAGACCGTTCAGCTGCTCTGCCTTCCAGGAACGCATTCACACCTCCAGCCTCTTCTTGAGCAGCCTTGCATTCTGTGTGACTTTTCTCTTCAGATTAATGGAGATGTGGGGTAAATGTTTTCACTTGAGTCTTGTTTCATGCTCCTTCTCACCACAGTTTAAGGAATTTATCTTTTATTTCAGAATGGCAGAGGGATTTATTATCCAATCCAGGAAAATCTGAGAAAATCATTTGGATAAAGCTTTCAAAGGGTGCTATGGCTGTGTGTAGCTGTCCCCCCAAAGCCTCCTGCAGTCATAAGTGGGGCTTAGGAGAGGTGGCTGGATTTACAGTGTGGAATTCTGGGGGTTAAGTGTGTGAAGCTGGGATCAAGGGTGTGTGATTAGTAAAACAGTCCACTGATTGGTCTGTCCTAGTTCAGGGTGTGGACAATGGGAGGTCCACCCTGGGTGTGAGTGCTACCTGTCCTCAGGGTATGTAGCCTGGATAGGCTATACGGCACAGAAAGGGGGTTACTGTCATCACTAGATGCTTTTTGCCTCCTACCTTTCTCCTTCCATGCCATGAAGTGTTTTATTCTCCGCTGTGATGCCCCTCTGCTGCCACCCTGCACTGAAGCCAGCTGACTATGTACAAAACCTCTACAAACTGAGCCACAGTAAACCTTTCTTCCTTTAACTTCGGGTGTCAGGTATTTCATCTCAGCAATGAGGAAAGTAACTAAGACGGGGTATTGAACATGTCAATTGTGAATAATCAATAATCAAGTAGAAACACAACCCAATAAAAGTGTGACACCCATATAAATTGATCACAATGTCTGCTTCAGAAACCACCAACAAAGTAGTTATGCGTATGTATCAGTCAGTGTTTAATAGAGAAACATTCAACACAAGACATACAAATGTATAAGAAATTACAAGATTGGCTTATGATGGTCACCAATATAGTTGGATGAGGAAGCTTGCAGAGGGTGTCTGCACACTGGAGACGGAAGGATTCAGTCCAAGGTCTGGAGCTCACTGCAGTGTCCCATGAGAGTCCATATAAGGAGGACAATGGGTCTGCGAAGGAAGACTGAAGAATCTATGCCAGAAGCCAAACGATCCACGCCAGAAGCCAAAGAGTCTGTGCTGGAAGCCAGGAGATGACGTCCAAGGTGAAGGCAGAGATGGGAGCTCTTCCGAAGAAACAGAAGCAGCTGCATCCTTTTTCATTTCTCCTTTAAACCATCCAGGAGACGCGCTGCCCCAGGGTGTGGAATTGCTGATATGATTTAGTTAAGCTTCTCTTAACTATGCACCTCAAATTGACACAGTCAGTCAACGGTCACAGCAGGCAAACATTCCTTGCCTGACAATGAGGTCATTTCCAAGAGTACATTAAAAAGCTCTTTGTTATGACTTCTGAGTAAACTGGTATCATAACTTAACTTAAAATTCAACCAGGTTTTTATACTAAAAATATCTCCTACAAAAATGGAGTGATACAACTTATAATAAGTTTGAAGACAGAATTCCTCTTTAATGTGCCTATTGAAGCTTTATAGGGAGCAAGAGAGGTGTTGAGGTAAAAATGATCAAAGTACTGTTATGTGCTTGTACGAGTCTGCCAAAATGAAACCCATTAATGTTTATAATAAATATGCACTATAAGACATGAAACAAAAATGAAGATAGAGCCATTCTGACAGTTAGTTTGACAACTTACTATTAATTATGGTAGCATTTTAAATTCATGTATCTTAATTTCTTGCACAAAAGGTATAAATATTTAGGATTTGGGGTCTGTTTTCCATTCTTTTGCTTTTTTGCAAATATCATTCTGTCCCATTTAAATATTGCAGTTTAAAAGTAGTTATAAAGCAAAGGACAGTAGTGATTTTCTTTATTATTTTTCACCATCTCTCAGTCATCTCCACATAAGAAAAAGCAAAGATCACTACTTCTTTGCAAGGTGTAGTGTCAAAACTGTAGGAGAATGAAACATATCTTTATGTTCTACATTTTCCAAACAAGGAAAATCTTGGAATTCCTAAGCTCTATTTATTTTAACAATTTTGATGGCAACCTTCTGGACTGTGCTTTAAATTTTTAAAAAACCAAGTCATAATTTAATTTTCCTAGGTAACAGTGGTCGATGACTTTATTTTTTCTTGCATGATGCTATAAAGCAGCACATAATTTTGCATCTAATACTATTTTTATGCTTTTTCCTTTGCCATCAAGTTGTCAGTTCTCAAATCTGTCTGCTATTGCCAGAATGCCTGCCTTTATTTTGCTTCTAATCTTTTCTAGGCTTAGAAAACAGACAGCTGAGCTGGCTGAGGGTTACATGTGAGATTCGGTAAATTTGAGGTAGCAAAATTTAGAATAAGGGGGTAGCCTTAGCCTCTGAGCTTCCCATAGTCATTCTGATGTGCACCCACATTGAAGGATACATTGAATTTGTGTAAAATCTGCCTTCTCACTAAATAAACAGGAAGTCATAGAGCTTCTCAGGCTGTTCCTTCCTTCTCAGGTGTTCCTTCCTTTAGACACCTACAATTTGAGTTTTAGAGTTAGGGTAAAAAGTCATCATTATCACTCAATCTATAAAAGGCAAGACTTGCAGGTGACTGGCCTCTTTACAGGCAGTCTTTTCAACCAATCGCCCTACATCTTGTCTCCTGCTCGCCAGAGCTGCTCACTCTGAGCATGGAAACCCTCCAGGGCTCAAAGAAAGAATAGCCAACAGTTCACTGATAGCCTTATCTACAAAATGTGGATGTCTGCTCTTGCACAATAAGAGGAAAATCATTAGACATAAGATGGCAACTGTCTTAGTTACTTCTCATTACTAAGACACACTACCACACACTCACAGTTTAAAAGAGGAAACGTTTATTTTCAGTCACAGTTTGTAGAGGTTTCAGTCCATAGTCAGCTGTTTCTAAAGCACCATGGGATAGCAGAGGGGCACAGCAGAGGATAAACAGTCCATGGCAGGGCAGGCAGGAAACAGGGCTGAGATCAAGAGAGGAGAAGGAATATATACCATTCCAGGTCATATCCCCAGTGACCTACCTTTCCCCACCAGGCATCTGCTCCAAACACCACACCTAGCTATAAACCCATCAGTGGACTAATCCAGTATCACACACCCATGATCAAGCCCCACCTATGAATATGTGAGGCCAAATATGAATGTTGGGGGGACATCTAGATATAAGCCAGACCAGGAATTTAGAAATGAAAATAATATTTTAATATTAATTTAAATTGATTGAAGAGTTAAAAAAGGTAAAAAGGAAAAATTTTGTGAGTAGATGAAATCATTAAGTAAGGGTCTTTACTATGAAGATGATCATTTAAAAATTATGGTTTATGGTATATGAATTGGAAAAAGAACAAATTACATTTAGAAGGAAAAGTATATATAGGTCAGTCCTGGAGCTCAATGCTAGAGAAATAGATCATAGTATCTCCAGTGTTGTTTAGCAAGGATGTTTAATGAAAATACACTCTAAAGTTAAATTAAATTAAACATTAACTTAGGAGTGATTTTGAAGATGTACTCAGTCAGTATGGGACAGAGCAGAGGGCGTGTGGCAAATGTGCCGTTGGGTTATGAGTTCAGCGGTCACTGTTGGAGCTGTTCTTTGATTTCTTCCATGTGGCTCTCCAGCGAACTTAAATGTGGTCAGAATAGGTAGTCTTCACAGCATGAAAACCTCACTGACAATGGCCTATTTGTGGTTTCCTTTTTACCAAATCCATTTTGGCCCAAGTCCTGTCAGTTGTATCTTTCCAAATCTTCTCTATTCCATTCACTATTCACTACCAAACTGTCATTGCTTTAGGTCATTATTCTTCTTTATATAATATCAATAGCTTTCTTTTTAAAATTAAATTAAATATTTACAGGTAATTTTTAAAATACAGAGCTTTGCAAGCTATAAATAGATACCATCTTTAACAGAATTTCCAGCAAGGCAGATACTAAGAAATATAACATCAAAAATTTAGAAATAATACAGAGATGTATACTACTTTAAGTACTATTTAGCATTTTTCTTACCATTCATCTCTGATGACCATATAAGTTGGTTCTAAGATTTAGTAATTCTGAATTGTGCTGTTATAAACGTAGATACATATATATTGCTTTTGTATGATGTTTATAACTCTTCTGGAAAGACACTCAAAATAGCACTTCTATTTTTAGTTTTTAACCTCCATACTGATTTCCATAATGGTTTTATCAGTTTACATTCCCACCAACAATGACGGGCTCCTCTCTCCCCCAACCTTGTCTGCATTTGTTATTGGTTGATCACTTGAGGTAACCATTTGTTCTAGAGTGAGATTTGTTCTAATTAATATATTCTAATTTGTGCTTCTCAAATAGCCAGCAATGTTGAACATTTTTTCATGTATTTATTCACCAGTTGCATTCTTCATCTGAGAAATGTCTATTTATTTCAGATGCCCACTTTTGATTGAGTCTTGAAATATTTTATTATGGTCAGAATAGATTTAATATAGGACAGGTAATTTATAGGATTATTTTATAATATTTACCCAAAAAGTCAAATGAAGAAGAGTGCAAGTGATCTGTCCACATACTAGAGACACAGTCCAGCTGAGGACCCAGATCCCATGGCCATGTTGTGCATGAATCCAGCTGAAGACCTACAGCCCATGACCATGTCCTCCACACGTCCAACTGGAGGTCTAAAGCCCATGACAATGTCTCATGCAAGTCTGTATCAACGATCTGCACTGGGAAGGTCCAAAGGTTGGTGGTGGAAGTTAGAAAGCTTGTGTCACTGGGATGAAGGATCTGTGCCAGCAGGCTGAGGAATCTGAACTGGAGCCAAGAAGCAATGCTCAAAGTAAGAACCAGAGCTCCCCCAAGAGAACTGCAACCATCCTCAGCAAAAGCAAGGGTCTGAGCTCCTCCAATGATAACTGAGTTCATATCAGGAAAGCCAGCATGACAAGCTTCTCCAGGAGAACCAACAGCACACCATCCTCCCCTCCAGTTCTCCTTTTATGCTGTTGCCAACAATGCTCACGTGGGCCTTCCACACCCGAACCGCACCGATTCTGTTCAGCTACATGTTAC